CTGTTCTAAATCTATACTGTCCTCCTGTTCTCGGGAAGGTTCAGGAGAAGGAGGGGTGGTCCCCACCATTCCTCCTCAGTCCAGCCCCTGACATCTGGTGACCAACATTAATGGACAGTGCCAGTCTTCCAGCATTGGGATTGGCCACACTAGGGATCAGATTAGTGTAGCCTGCATGTAGGGCGGAAGCCATGTGTGCAATAGACATTATGATGACCTGATCCATGAGGCCCTCATGGGTTGCAAGGGTAACTTCTGAAGCAGGAAGCCTGCTGTTAGTATGTAGCCTTCCTGCATGATTTGGAACCTTGGAATATCAGGGTTCTAAATTTGGAACCTTGGAATATCAAGGTTCTAAATCATGCTGGGAGTTGTGCTTTTTTTATTGTTAGGCTCTACCCTTAGTTATGGATGTTTAAGACACATCTTAAACTTCTCCAAACACTGGAAATGGAATTGCAGACCAGGACATGGAACAGCTTAACAAAATGCAGTAGAATGTTCAATATCTGATCAAGGAAGGGGCTCAGGCCATGTTGAGAGGGTCAGAGAGTTGGTTTCCTGTTCCCAGGGTCCTGGGCTTTGCAGTTGTTCAGCATTTTGGCCTTTACAACCCTTTTCACAGAACCGTAACCTAAAGTAATTGCTAAAAGAAACTTCCCTATTTATATCAGTGGATTGTAAGTCCTGCATGATTAACTTTGATTACTTTAATGGCATTGTGCAGAGCTTAATGACCTCAGGATCTGATCTGTTTCTTTAAAATAGGCCACACGCTAGTAAGTTTTAGTTTCCCTAAGGACAGGGATAATGTTTTTCCCTCTAGGTCCTTTCCTTGGCAATACCACATCTATTGTGTTCTTTTAATGCGGAAAACATAATAATGAATACCACTATATATACACAGTGGTAAATATTAATATGCAGTGGTAAATGTTAATATGTTCTATCTATCATTTAGCTATGTATCTATCTAATCTTCCCCTAATATAACACATTTATAATGCTGTATTTTGACAAATGTAGCTGAGTCCATAATAAGCTGGCATAGTCAAGTGCCTATCAGTTTATTTCTATTTATTCATTGCATTTGTAGGGCATCCTTCATCATATATATATATATATATATATATATATATATATATATACCCCCAAATAAGATAGTGGTTTCTGTATATTGGGATGGGGCCGCTAGCTTCATCAGAGTATGTTAAAAGGGAAAAAAAAATCTCAAATCCGTGAATGGCCTGAGAAGGAACTGTAGTGAAAAGCGTTGAAATGTTGAGGGCAGCTGAGGCACAAAATATTGAAGGTGTCAGTTGAGATGGGGGGGGGGGGCGAAGGCAAAATGGAGGTGGGAGATAATTGGCTTTTCTGAATCCCCAGCAGTTTATCGTATGATGGAATGGTGGATTAGGCACTACTGTGTAAGCACATCATAATGGGGGGGGGGTATTCCAGTTAAAATAAAGAGAAAACAATAGAAAACAAAACAAACGGTGCATAAAAATGGGGAAACAAAACAACTCTCTAATTATGTACATCCTTGTCTAAAACAAACATTTATGAATGAAATTATTATTCTAACGCATACACATATATTTATACTATACTATATATTTTATAAATGCTTTCCAAATGTCATATTTGGCCATATGCAGTCTATGTCTATAAGCTATACGTGCAGATGTCACAAGAGTTGTCATGTCTTCTATCCATTGATTAAAGGGGGACATTGATTTATCTTTCCAGTGGATATTGATCCGCTTGTCAGACCATGATCTTGAGGTGGCCAGCCCACCTAGCCCCTTGTCAGTGGAGGGATCTTGTTTGATTCCATAGAGGAAGGTCTTTCCCTTGATGGCTTCAATTTGCTTCAATTTCCCCAAATCTAAGCCCCTGCCTTACACAGCGTAATACACTCTCCCTTTTGGGGGAGGGTGTGTATGTGTGAATACTCTCTAGAATGTATTCATGACTTAATTATATCTTTCTCTGAGTCATTATTTTTCAGTTACAGCTGGTTAACCTTGTTGTACTTTAATTCTTAACAAAACACTAGCCAGAGATCAGTCAGATTGCTAGCTTGATCACTGATTATTGCTCCCTTGTGGAAAGGGTGATGTGTTTAGGGTACGTTGTCTATGTCTATTGACGGAGGTGAGACATTGCCTTTGACAACAATGAGCAAGGGAGCCTTTGAAAATAAAATGCATCTAGCAAGACAGAAAGTCCTTAAGGTGTGGATCTATTGAAGATGAAGGAGATAAAAGAGATGGATCACAGAAAAAAAGATTTCAATATGATATCTGTTTAATGTTTAAAATACATTTTGTTTGTTTGCAGCAGTCTATGAAGCAACTGTGGTGATATCCCCCCTTGAAGACTGGTTTATGGGAATGGGTTAGAACCTCAGAAATAATGAGCTTAAATACAATTGTCTCCCATTAAGGCTTCAAGGCTAGTGTCACAAGATAATTGGGTGGAAGAGGTGAACACCCATGGGCTAAGTTTCCATAAAACTTGGGTTAGTGGGAGCTCTCGGCAGCTAGCCAAGCCGAGGTCAGCATCTGTTTTGGCTTTTCATAGCATCTTGTTCCATTGCTCAGCCTGCTGAGATTTAAGTGTAAGCATTTCTGTTAATTAGCTGGATAAGTTAGTGTTTTTTTGTTTTCTTACCTTCTGAGCCATTTTAATTTGTGTAATTATTTGGAGTTTTTCCTCTCTTCCAGAGTTTTGTTTTAGTAAAGTCTGTGTATGATTTTATGAAATTTGGTCTGGTCTGAGTTCCTGAACCCTTTAATTTGAACCATGCTTTTTGGAGCAAGGGTCACCCACCACAGCAACACACATAATTTTGCAGAAGCTGTATCATAGCAAAATTCAGTTAAAATAAAATGAATGGCCAAGCAGCGAGGAGATGCATTTCTCAATTATTATTTTTAATGGTATGGAATAACATCAGTAGGTATCGGGGAGAAATTCAATTCTGTTCACATTTAAAGGTGATCTTACCTAAGCTGCTCTTTCCAAAACAGTGCACAAATAGAAACCTAGTCATCCTTCAAAAATTCAAACTTCTCTGAATTTTTCAATGCAGTTCTCCAGCCAGGTAATTTAAACAAAAAGCATATGCTAGGGTGGAGTGGTCATTGACAGGCATATATAAGTGAAATAACACAAGACACCTGCACTGCCTTAAGGAAAACTGCTTTGCAATTTTTTTTTAAAAAAATGTGTATTTTAGGCAAAATTGCATTAGAAAATGTGCATATCTGAAGAAGAGTGCAGTGGGGAATTAAAAGATTTGCATACTGATGCGGAAATGTGGAGAACTAAATTGAAGATTGGGAAAAATGAGAAGTTGAGAGAATCCAGAATTGAAAGATTTGGCTTTTCCCAGACATCATTGAAGTGGTCAGGTGAACTTACCTCTGGAATGTGTTCTGAAGTATAGGCATCATTCAGAAGGAGCTGCCCAGTACTGTGTATTCTATACATTTGTGAACAATGATACCATCAGGTCAAGGGAAATGAGGAGGCACATGTGAGGGGAAGCATTTGCTGAGATACTTGGGACCCTGAAAATGTTGGTACAGGATATGTCCTGACTGGCTGTTTAAATTGACATAGAGACATACTGGAGCAACAGTGAAACCAAATCTCAAGAAAACTATAAACCCAGTATAGATATTCTTAATTTGTGTTTTATCTTGGTTTCTAAAGAGAACACGTGAAAAGGCTGCTGCGCATATATATATATATATATATATATATATATATATATATCACACTTCCTCCAAGAAACTCAGGAAAACACCTGTGCACTTTCCTCCAAAACTGAATCTCCTTTTAGGAAGGCTAAGCTGAAAATCAGTAACTGGCCCAAGCTCACCCAGAAAGCTTGATGGCTGAGTGAGACTTTAAACATAAAAATGTGATAGCTTCATCTTCCATGAATTTGCCTCATCATCTTTATATTAGTCCCAAGTCGATGGCCATTACTACATCTTGTGGTGTGATGGCCTAGGACTCGGGCTCAGACTCGGAGCCAGAGGAGTCTCAGTCCACACTGGATCCTTTGCCTCAGGCAGCATCTGAACCTAGTCTGGAGCCTGATTTTGAAGAGCCCCAGTCTGCACAGGTTCCCCTGCAACAAGCAGCAGCTGGGCCGAGTCAGGGGCCTGAGCCTGCCCTGGCTCCAGATGTGGGGATTACCTTGTTGCCTTCAGCTGGGCCATCACTTACAGCTGCTCCACTCCCAGTTGGGTCAGGAGAGGCTGAGGTGGCCTCTGGGTCTAGTAACCCACAAACATCTCCCGAGCTGCAGAGACTGAGGTCTGAGAGAAGGTGAGACCTGAGTACTCGCAGGAGGAGTGCTCGCCTTCAAGAGAGACAGCGAGGTGAGTCGCTGGGGGATCAGGACTGGCTGTTACCCCGACAGAGATAAAAGGCTGCTGGACCCCACCCCAGGTTGCGGGAGCAATGTTGCTGTTTGTCAGAACCTGCCTGTGATCCTATCCCTGCCTGGTTTTCTGCCTCATGTCCTGCCTTGGCCCTGTCAAACTGACTCCTAGCAGAACCCTTGGATTTGGGACCGGGCCTGGACCACGTTACTCGGTTTACCCCCGGGCCCAGCGCAGTGGTAGCAGATTCTACAGTGCTGTTTAAAGATGTACTTCCTTTTGTCAGTCCCAAATCTCCCACTAGTTGGTTCATTGGACTTCCCTGCATTCTGGTATGATGCAAAATGGCAACCATCTTTGATCTGTCCACTTCTAATTCATTTCTTACATCCATCCATCCATTGTGAAATGGATGACCCTGGAGTCCAGTGGTGATCAGGATCCTGGATCAGAGGCTACAAGGCTACTGGCTTAGGTAATAGACCATGTTCCTGATTTTGAGTCCAATACCAGAGACTTCTGAACTGGATCCCACAGTACCAGTTGCCATAAAACTAGAGCTGGGACACTCATGGGAAGGACCATGACTGGGGAGGGTTTGTAGCTCAGTGGTAGAGCATCTTATTGGCATGCAGAAGGTCCAAAGTTCAACCCCTTGCAGGTCCAGGTAGGACTGCTTGTGTGTTCCCCTGGGCCCAAGAAACCAAGTGCTTCCTACTCTACCTCACCAGTCCAATGGCACAGGGAGCTAGTCAGGTGGAAAGCTAGGGAGCAAAGGAGAAGCACCCATCTTCAAACAAGAGCACTGACCCTTTAAGAGTCTGCATTTGCCCAATGGCAATGTTGCAATCAAGTAATATGCATGCTAATGGGAGCCATTACTCTGGCATTGCCGCCAAACAAGCTTCTTTTTTGAGGGAAATGTCAAGCATAGTGTCTTTAATCTTTTTAAAAAGTAAGTTTTATGATTTTGAGCACTTAGGTTTTACACTGCCAAATCAGACAGATCTCCAAAGGGCCTAATTTTCAGAAAGTGCAGAAAAGAATATGAAAATAATGGAGGCAATCAAAATCATTTCTCAATTTTTGAAAATAGTCCTTTTTTCTTTTCAAAACTGTGGAGGGGGGAGTTACATTATGATATTATGGCTTAGTCTATTGGTCTACTTTCTATAAGTACAAAATTTTATGAGGGCTGTCAATCAGCTAAATATTTTTAGCTGATTAGCCATTTGATTTTTACCCATTGATTGATAAAATATGAATTAACTTGCATACTACCAAAATCCATGTCTGTGGATATTGAAAGAAGGATGAGATAAGGCTGTTCCCCACATTTTTGGGATGTGTGTGTGTGAATTTGCCACAACCCTCCTTCCCTGGAAGAAGAAGAAAGGTGGTATCTCCCTAGGGGAAAATGTTATGACCTGAGGGTGATTTTGCCCAATTTCAGCCTGCCCCACCCCACACTTTCCCTTTTTCTTTATGTGGCACCCACCCACCCTCCTACCCCTTTGAAGTGTAGGCCTACAGAATATTCATCTGTTTTCCAGGGGGTGAGCAGCGTTTTTGGGGGGAGACCCGAATTGGCTCTGTGTGGTGTTCCTTAAGTCTGGCTAATTGGCATGCAATCCAGGCCGGTGAAAAGATTTCAGAAAGAATGGACCACTTACCTGAGGCAGTGTTGGGTTGTGGGTATTGAATCCAAATAACTATATTGTACTAGCCATGTGGTATCCCTCAGTTACTGTTGTCAGGCAGTGAACACCTGCTTGAACGTAATTTGATTGGGCTACGTTGGTTGAATCTGACTAGTTGGTTTGTTTTGGAGGTCTTCAAGTAGTTCTGTTTAATAGATATAACCTACTTATCCGCATTTGGTTCTCTTGAATCTTTTTCCTGGCGTCCTGGCAAATTACAATTCAGCCAGAAAACAAAAGGTGCAATATAGTATTATTAAAATAATATTTTTTTTTTGGCATTGACCATTACGGTAACACATCAGAACCAAAGGCACAGTCTGTCCTCCATGAGCAAACCCGGATGGTGCCCTCTCTCTTTCTTTTCAGCTGTTTGATATTTATTGCAACAATTTAGATTCTGCTTATAAACTGTGTTGTTAAGCAGTGTAGGGTAACATTATAAAGGATACAATAACTATAAAATCAGTTAAATTAACCATAACATCAAAAAACTCAGTTTGTTGGCCACATTGAGTCCACCACAGTACCCAGATTACAATCCTCATGGCACCGTTCACTTTACTTATCTGCCAGCAGGAGGGAAGAATAGCGTTATCTTTAATCATTCCGTAATCATCAATCCTGCAAAG